TCTCTCTCACTCACACACACACACACACACACACACACACACACACACACACACACACACACACACACACACACACACACACACACACACACACACACACACACAGTTTCCCAATCTTGAATTCCATTTGCGTAACTTCATGTGAGGAAGTCTTGTCTGGCATTTTTCACTTGCAGCCGGATACTTAAAATAATCATATTTTCCCCCTCACAAAAATGGGCATTTTAAACTTTAAAAAAAGAGCTCCCTCAGACCCTAGGAAAGTGTGTCATGTATGTATAGGTATATATTAAGCAGTTTCTTTTCCCAGCCATGCTCAGCCACTAGGAAAGTGGTGAGAGTTTCTTGAGGTGATGGACAGGAGCAAACCTCCCATGTTCTAGGTGTCTTAGATTACAATGCTCATCCTCCCAACAGAAGAGGGGATCATGGGAGTTGTGGTTCCCCACCTCTTGAGAGCAAAGGCTGAAGGACCAGGATTTCAGGTGGGGAAAGGGGTTGGTTTCCTGGGTATCATTTTCTCTTCATGCTTTTCTGGGCAAACAACATCTCTTTCCCTCCCAGTTTTACATGGGTAACACATATGCCGCCATATTGCCATTATTAAGCCAGAATTTGAACCCGGTCCTGGTGACCTCGGCTGAACCCTTTCACTCAAGGGGTAAAGAATGTGCAGATCTTTAGATGCTCCTGGACTGCAACTCCCATCGCCCCTCAGTATCGGCTATGCCATTGGGGGATGTTGTCCAGCAACTTTAGGAAGGACACTCCGTTCCTCTCCTCTCTGTGGATTCTGGTTTCTTTCTTCTCACAGGCACATCCCGCTGAGTTCAGATAAGGGGGGAAAGAGTCGTTGTGACCTTAGGTGACCTCGCCTGCCAGAGTCTCAAGCTTCAAAAAAAAAATGAACATGTAAAATTCAGATCTCAGTAAATCATGTGAAATTCAGATCTCAGAAAATCACGTGAAATTCAGAGACCAGATCCTTTCCCCAACCCTTAGGTGTTAGATACTCTGATGAAACTACATCAGGAAAAAGAATGTTTAATCCACACTTCTGCAGAAGAGCACTAGCCAGGTTATAAGGTACCATATTTTTTGTGTTTAAGACTATACTTTTTTTCTAAAATCTTTAGACTAAAAATTGAGGGACGTCTTATACACGGAAGTAAGCTGAGGAGAGAACAAACACAAGTGGAGGGGAAAGGAGGGATCAAAGCGATCCTGCAGGGCTTTGATCCCTGCTTTCCCCTCTGCTTGCTAAGTCCCATGGGGATTAACAAAAGGAGGGGTGAAAGGATCAATGCAATCCTGTGGCTGTATAAGGGGGAAAGGAATCAAAACGATCGTGCAGTGGCAGGATTGCTGTGATCCCTTTCCCCCTCCTTTTGGTAAACCCCGCGGGTCTTAGCATGAAGGGAGAAAGCAGGGATCAAAGCGATCCTGTAGTGCTTTGATCCCTTCCCCCTACACTTGCTAAGCCCCCACTTAGATTTCTTAATTTGGGGTTAGAAAAGTGGGGGTGTCTTATACACATGGAGGTGTCTTATACACTGAAAAATACAGTATTTACAGATGCCTCTCTGTCATCTATCAAAAACCAGGTGCTCTTCTCTGTGTTTTTATGTTCATAGCAACGCTGTGACATAGGATAGACTGAGTAAACAGGATTATTCCAAGAACATTCCCAGAACTTCACAGCCATGCAGATTTGGCCCATGGTTTTGAGCCTATGAGGCTGACCCTCTAACCATCAACATATCACTCCTTTGGTTTCTCCCCACCCAGAGGCAGGGACTGGATTTGATGTCCTACTTTGTAGCCGGGCACTCTAACCACTCTACTATTCTGCCTCTCGGTAAGGTCCTTGCCATATTACTCAGCACAGCAGCATTGGGGACACAAGAGAAGTGTAGCACCTGAGCAGAGCGAAAGCCAGAGGGAACTGGCAAAGGGCAAGCTCCCGTTTCTCCGTGAGACCCGTGCCACGAAAATCCCAGGTCTGAACGTCGAAACTTGCAAGACCACGAAGAACCCCGCATGTCCTCTTGAGCCCTCGTACGCCTTCGTGCCAGAGCAGAGCTCGGATGGCCGACGGTGGCTGCTCACGACTTCCCGGTAGGGAAAAGAATACTGGGAGTTGTAATCCATAAAGAATGAGCTGTGGTCCCATTTCTGAAGATTTGTTAGTAGAGAGGGAGAGAAAGAATAGGGGGTTCACGGGTACCTACTGAGAAAGCATGCGTCATGGACAGCATCTCCCATCATCCTCCACCAGCATAGCCCATAGTGAGAGATGATGAGAGTTACAATCCAGGAAAGCAGGAGGTACTTTGTTGTTGTTTAGTCGTTTAGTCATGTCCGACTCTTCGTGACCCCCATGGACCAGAGCACGCCAGGCCCTCCTGTCTTCCACTGCCTCCTGGAGTTGCATCAGATTCATGTTGGTGGCTTCGCAGACACTGTCCAGCATCTCGTCCTCTGTCATCCCCTTCTCCTCTTGCCTGAAGTACTAGTTCTCTATTCAGCACTGGTTAGGCTTTCCCTTGAGCACTGTGCGTCCAGTTCTGGACTTTACACTTCAAGAAGGATGCTGACAAACTGGAACCAGTTCAGAGGAGGGCAACAAGGATGGTCAGGGGACTGGAAACCAAGGCCGAGGAAGAAAGACAGAAATCTAGCCTTGGTAAAAGAAGACTGAGGGGAGAAAGGAGAGCACTTTTCTAATACTTGAAAGGCTGTCCTAGAGAGGAAGGGCAGGATCTGTTCCCGATTGTTCCAGAGTGCAGGACACGTAAGAATGGGCTGAAGTTTCAGGAAGTTACAGAAAGATTTGAGCTGGATGTCAAGAAAAACTTCGTAACTGTTAGAGCAGTACGACAATGGAGCCCATGTCCTCAGGAGGTGTACAGCGCTCCAACACTGGAGGACTTCAAGAAAAATTTAGATGACCACCTGGTACATATCCTTTGGTGTGTATTCTTGCCCTGAGCAGGGGGTTGGACCCAATGGCCTTAGAGGCCCTTTCCAGCTCCATGATGCTATGATTCTACGAAATCCCACCAGAAAGGGTGGCTTTGCCTTAAAGCAACCCATCCATCGTTTGGAGAGTCACTCCAGGCCAGCCCCACAAAAGGTTCAGCTTGGGCCTGGATGGGAGGTCAGGATAGAGCGAGATGGTCTGCACGCCGCATGATCGCTGGGGTGCCAGACTTTGCCACAAGCGGCCCAGAAATGCAAGCTCACCGCATGGGTGACCCCCAACCTCAGCAGGATCTGGCTGGCAAGCTGAGCAGGAGACCCACAGCTCACCTGGTCACTATCTTCCTCACTCAGGTGAGACGTCCCATGTTCTCCACTCAAATGGCAACCATTTGGCCGTATCTGAACCTTTACACATCTCTGAATGATCCTCTTTTGATACAAGCCACATTTGTCTCACTTCCTGGTTACGTGCCTTGTCCTTTTTCAGTCAGGCGTATAAGTGGCCACCCCACCAATACAACAAAAGGCAATTAGAGTAAGACTGCAGTATCTGTGATTGCTTCCAAGCCACTGTGCCCTCCCGAGATGCCGAAAAATGCAGAAGTATCAAACACTATACATTGTGTGGCTTCTGGCTCCTTCCAGTGGCTAGTTCTGCACAATACACTCTGTAAATATATATAAATACATACAGTATATGCTATTTAGTATTTTCAGGCAGCAGATAAGCAAAGCAGTGGATAAGTGAATCAGCGGATACTGATGCCGCGGATAGGGAGGTCCTACTGTATTTTATTCTTTTATTCACTCTGTTGGGAAATTTAAAACAGAGACCAGTCTCCACCCTCTGTGGTTGGCTGGGACCCTTTGCTCTAGCCTTCAAGACTCCACAGCTGCTTTTTTTGGCTCATCCTCAGCATTGGCAGCCAAAGGCTCGCCTCTTCACCCCGGCTTGAGGATTCTGGGAGTTGTAGCCCCCTCCCAAAAAATAGCATCACCAAGCTGTGGGTGTGAAGAGTAAACACAACCAGCTTCTCATGGGATGCTCAAAGTGTATCTCTGAAGAAGGAGGGGAAGGGCCGGGATTTTAAGCCACTGACTGTGTAGTAGAATAGGTAGGGTGGCCCTAATCCTGTAGAGGCTTTCTTGGGAGTAAGGCCCAACCAACACAGTGTGGCCGAAGCTCAGACTGGAATGCAAGGGAAGCTTTCTGCCTGGAATCAATGGGCGTTTGGGAGGGGCTGCAGGGGAGGGGGTTAAAATCCCCCCCTGTCTCCCACGGTCCCAACAAAGAGCACCGATTAGGGCTATTGAAATTTGGAAGAAAAACCAGACATTAATTGCAGTCACCCAATTAACACCCTGCTTGCTTTATCCTCCAGTCTCTGAATCCACAGGTGCGGGACTGGCCTGCCCAGCTCCAGTTTCTCCTGTACATCTATTTACAAGGATGTAAGCCCCATGGAGGTCAGTGAGCTTACCTTTGAGTAAGTCATGGTGAGATTCAAGCTGTACCAGGCTGTAAAATATTCACAGAAACGCCCAGTTTTTCCCAACGACCTAGATTTGATTTGCAGCTCGGAACCCACCCACCCTTCCCTTTTTTTCTGGGGGAGAAAAGCTTGTTTTTTAATAGGGACTTAATACCAAAGACTCAAACTGGGGACTTGGAGGAGCCAAAGATGTGCCAACCTCTCTGGGAAGAATTGGAGGCTGGCAACCCACCTCTCTGCATGTAGACTCTGAAGAACATCTGACTCAGTTCCACCAAAGAGTAACGCACGGACGGGTGACCTCCTGCTAGGTCACCTTCAGGCCAAATGTAAAAATCAGGCTCCTTTAATAACATAATTACAGGCTGCCACATCCATTCCAACTTATGAGATTCAAGCTGTACCAGGCTGTAAAATATTCACAGAAACGCCCAGTTTTTTGAAATGACCTAGATTTGATTTGCAGCTAGGAACCCACCCACCCTTCCCTTTTTTTTCTGGGGGGAAAAGCTTGTTTTTAATAGGGACTTGGGACTTAATACCAAAGACTCAAATGGGGGACTTGGAGGAGCCAAAGACATGCCAACCTCTCTGGGAAGAACTGGAGGCTGGCAACCCACCTCTGCGCGTAGACTCTGAAGAACATCTGACTCAGTTCCACCAAAGAGTAACGCACGGACGGGTGACCTCCTGCTAGGTCACCTTCAGGCCAAATGTAAAAATCAGGCTCCTTTAATAACATAATTACAGGCTGCCACATCCATTCCAACTTATGATGACTCTGTCCAGGGTTTTCTAGGTAAAGAGTGCTCATTCCCTTCCTCCGAAGGTCCCATGAGACTGGACAGCTTGCCCAAGGCTACACAGGCTGGTTTTTCTCCTGGGACTCTGGGCAGGGAGTCGGAACTCCCTCCCTGTGGTTCCACAGCCAGATACGTGACTCATTGGTCTATCCAGCCAACCGACTGCTCTCCCCTAGGGAGGATATCCCAGAGCGATGGACACATAAGAATGGACTCAAGCTACAGGAAGCCAGATTTCGGTTGAATACCAGGAAAAACTTCCTAACTGTTAGAGCAGTACAACAATGGAACCTATGACCTTGGGAGGTGGGAAGTGCTCCAACGCTGGAGGCCTTCAAGAGAAGATTGGGCATCCATCTGTCAGATCTGCTTTACTTTGGATTCCTGCCTTGAGCAGGGGGTTGGACTGGATGGCCTCAAGAGGCCCCTTCCGACTTTACGATTCTATGAGATCATTTCCATCAGGGTGGGATTTGCTTGATACTGGCTTCGGCCGAAAGTCTCACTGGACGTGATGGACTTTCCTTTGAAGGATACATGCCGAAAAGCAGTTTCATGTCCTGCACCGGTTTACACAGTGAGGCAATTTTTTCTGGCGTCTCTGCCACCATCGTAGGCAGACATGCTTGGAAGACATCTCGTTGCTCTGAACGGGTGTTTCTCCCAGGACAGCCTCGATCAAGGAAACAAGCCTGCGTCCTTAAGCCAGGAACAGCTTTCGCTCTCTTCAGCTGCACCCATTTTTAACCACACTATAAAGGTCCAGGGAACAATGAGGGCGGGTTGGTTTTAAGTTCTTGCAAGTTTCTACAACATTGACAGCCTGTATCACAATGGTATGTAGTGGGGATTTATTGCAGTTGATTTGGGATTTTTTTTTCCCAGTGGTTGGTCTGGGGTTTTATTTTGTTTGCTTTTTTAACGGTCTGGGATGAGGCCAGAAGGCATTAGAAGCTTTGGAGGAGAAATGGTGGCCGTTTTTCATTTAAAACCCTAAGGCACCTGCAGTAAGTTAAAGTTGAGCTTGTTTTGAATAGTATATTTGGCTTGTGACCTTTCTACTCTTAGCCATTTTGGATGGGGTTGGGAACGATTTATTCCAAGGAAATCCCTAGAACTTGTTGGAAAGGGCATGCAAAGTTTGCAAAAGTTCCTTTTTTAAAGAGAGGATGTTGCTGCCAGGATCCCTGGCTAGGGAGTGGGAGACTCTGAAAAATTCTAGTCCAAAATTAAAATTTCCAAGGTCTGTGGGTGCGGGGAGAGAGGTGAAAGGGGTTAAAGCTGCAGCAACCAGCTATGCTCCAATAGTGGAACTTACAGACTCTATAAGGGTAAACGTAGGTAATATGTTTGCAATGTTTGGGAGGGTCATGGCCCCTCCCTGTGGCCTGTCCATCAGAGCATCTCCTTTCCCAGGTACAGTTTACATTCAGTGTGCTTTGTTGATTGCTAGAAGGTAAACACGGCTGGATTCACTCTTCGGACCCAAACCTCTCTCTCTACCTGCAACCAAATATGTAAGTAACTTCCTGAGCTATCCAGTGGCTTCTGTATCACTCTTGCTTTGTCTTATGGCTTCCTTCCAGAGAGAGTGCCTTTCCATCCACGTGGGCCAGGCTGGCGTCCAAATGGGCAACGCATGCTGGGAACTCTACTGCCTGGAGCATGGTATCCAGCCGGACGGAAAGATCCCCAACTCCCACCTGGACAGCCAAATGGATTCGTCATTCGAGACCTTCTTCTGCAAGACGGGAGCTGGGAAGCATGTCCCCCGAGCGGTCTTCATTGACCTGGAGCCCTCCGTCATAGGTAATTCACGCTATTGAGGCCGGGTTGAAAGGAACGGAAAATCCACGGGACCTGATCAAGTGCCCTGGATTAGCCAAAGTCCTTTTGCGCCGCTACGTCGGTGTAATGCTAGAACTGGGAGTGGTTGCATGTGCAAAAATCAAAATCTCTGGTGTGTACCAGAAAGATAATGGTGTTCCTTGAGCAGTTTCTCCCACATATGTCACAACAACGTCTGCCACCAACCCAAGGGCTATGCCATAGCTTGTGGGCCGTATGCTGTCCGAAAGCTCAGTTTTATCTGCCCCGTCTGTCATCTCTTGTAGATGAAATCCGCACCGGGACGTATCGTTCCCTCTTTCATCCGGAGCAGTTGATCAACGGCAAAGAAGACGCGGCCAACAATTATGCCCGCGGCCACTACACCATCGGGAAGGAAATCATTGACACGGTGCTGGACAGGATCCGCAAAATGGCAAGTGGCTGGTGGCGGGAAAGCTTTTGTGTTGGACGATAATACCCATAATCCCCCAAACAGCACTTGCCTCTGCAGGCTGGGCGATTCTAGGAGTCCAAAAAGCAGCCGATTTCCAAATTCTGCCCTTGAAAACAAGCCTGCCTTGCCCTGCTATTCTCATAAATCCTCTCATAGATTATCCCATAAATTTGAAATGAAAAGTTGGCGATCCTACCTCTGTACCTTGTCCAAACGTGCCCGTTTCTTCTGATAAACAGTTCCAAGTGTAATCTTCCTTTGACTTCGCCTCCCAGAAACAATAAGAGAATCGTAACAATCAAGGGGACCTCTAAGGCCATTGAGTCTGACCCCTGCTCAGTGCGGGAATTCAGCTCAAAGCAGATCTGACAGATGGCTGTCTAACAGGGTTAGGGCACTCACCACCTCCCCTCGAGGTCATGGGTTCCCTTGTCGTACTGCTCTAACAGTTAAGAAGTTTTTCCTGATAGTCTGCCTAAATCTGGCTTCCTGTCACTTGAGCCCATTGTTGCATGTCCTGCACTCTGGGATGGTCAGAAACAGATCCTGCCCCTCCTCTGTATGATGATATTTCAGGTAAATGAAAAGTGCCCCCGGTCTTCTTTTCTCAAGCTAAACATGCCTAGTTCTTTCAGTCTTCCTTCCTACGGGCTTGGTCTCCAGCCCTCCTCTGAACTTGTTCCAATTTGTCAACATCCTATTCAATGTGTGACATCCAGGGCTGGAAACGGGACTCGAGATGAGAACTAACCAGTGCCGAATAGAGGAGGACCAGTATCTTGCAGGATTTAGAGAGTCTACTTCTGTTCATGCAGCCTAAAAATCACATTGGCCTTTTTTGAAGCCACATCACACTGTTGGCTCCTATTTAGCTTATGATCTACCACAATTAGGGTTGCCAGATACATGGGCACCAAAAGAAGGACATAGAAAGACCAAGGACAAAGGAGGATGTATTGAATGTTTCATTTGAATCATTCTGGATTAAACCCGCTATCAATACAATTTTATTACAATAGCTGGCAATAAATGTCTCTTATTGAACCGACCAAAAAACAGGCAGGTTAAAAAATAAAAATAAATTCAATTGAGGCTTTTTGTTTCAAAATACCAAAAAACATTATTTAAACAGCCAATTGTACCCAAACCCACAGAAAGACAGGGAGAGGGGGAGTCCTTCCACCTCTCCCCCTCCCATACAAAATTATAACATAAAATAGCCTGACATTTTTAAGGTTTTTATCTTTGCCTGCCAAACGGAGGACGTCAGGCTAAAAAGGAGGACATGTCCTCCTTTTGCCAGACATCTGGCAACCCTAACCACAATTCCAAGATCCTCCTTGCTCGTAGTGTTGCAGTACTAACGCCAACCTCTATTTCTTTCCATCTTTCTCAGGCTGAGCAATGCAGTGGTCTCCAAGGTTTTCTGCTCTTCCACAGCTTTGGTGGAGGCACAGGGTCAGGCTTCACCTCCCTTTTGATGGAACGGCTCTCGGTTGACTTTGGTAAGAAAGCCAAGCTGGAGTTTTCTGTATATCCTGCACCACGGATCTCCACAGCGGTGGTGGAGCCCTACAACTCCATCCTGACCACCCACACCACCTTGGAGCACTCCGACTGCTCCTTCATGGTGGACAACGAAGCCATCTATGACATATGTAACCGGAACCTCAACGTTGAACGCCCAACGTACATCAACCTCAACCGGCTGATTGGGCAGATTGTGTCGTCCATCACGGCTTCTTTGAGGTTTGACGGGGCTTTGAATGTCGACCTGGCGGAATTCCAGACCAACCTGGTGCCTTACCCGCGTATCCACTTCCCTCTGACCACGTACGCCCCCATCATCTCGGCGGAAAGGGCCTTCCACGAGCAGCTCTCTGTGCCAGAGATCACCAACGCCTGCTTTGAGTTCTCCAACCAGATGGTGAAATGTGACCCTCGCCGGGGCAAATACATGGCTTGCTGCCTCCTCTACCGGGGCGACGTGGTGCCCAAGGATGTCAACGCAGCCATTGCCGCCATTAAGACCCGGAGGTCCATCCAGTTTGTAGATTGGTGCCCCACGGGCTTCAAGGTGGGCATCAACTACCAGCCGCCCACAGTGGTGCCCGGAGGGGACCTGGCCAAGGTGCAACGGGCCGTCTGCATGCTGAGCAACACCACGGCCATCGCGGAGGCCTGGGCCCGGCTGAATCACAAGTTTGACCTCATGTACGCCAAGCGGGCCTTTGTCCACTGGTACGTGGGGGAAGGCATGGAGGAAGGCGAGTTCTCCGAAGCCCGGGAGGACCTGGCCGCCCTGGAGAAGGATTACGAGGAAGTAGGGCAAGATTCTGGGGACCCTGGGTCTGATGCAGAGGAGGACCAAGAATATTAAGCACCCCCAGTGCAAGAAAACAAACTTTTAATGCCACCAGTTCAGAGTCTGAACGGCTCTGCCTGCACACAACACAGTTGCTGGGTGTCCTGGTTTCTCACCATACACTTTATTGTCCTCAGCTTCCTGGTCCTGTATTGCGAAACACTCACGACACCATACACTTTATTGTCCTCAGCTTCCTGCTCCTGTTTTGCAAAACACTTAACAAACCGTCACAAAATAAAACATGAAAGAACTAAAGAAGCCCACCGTGTGGACGTTGTGCTGTAGACAGGTTCTACTTTAATTTCTAAATAGGGGCTGAGAAGCGGGGAAGTTGTTACATCCTAGGTTTCTACCAGTCAGCTCAAGAGGCTTTGAACCGTGCACGGTGCCAAAAATTGGGCTAAAAAGTACCTCGGGGATTTAGGACTCTGGCTACGGAGCCAAAGGTTGGGAGTTCAATTCCCCTACTGGGGCTTCCTTGACCGGGGCTGGACTGGATGATCTATAGGATCCCTTCTAGCTCTGCCATTCTAAGATTATTATTAATAGAAGCAGAGAGGTAGGTGGAAACTGGAGAATGAATCGATGGATCTTCGGAGGTCTGCATCCTCTGTACTTTCAGGTCTCTTGATTCACATACCCTTGGGAAAAATTACTGGATTAGAATTTTCTATTTTGGTCAATTTTGTTTTCTGCTTTAAGATGGATCAACCTGCGTAGGGAATTTGCATGTGCCAATAAATGCAGAAAGGGGACAGAAGATGTTAGACCTTAGACCACTTGTGCTGGTGGTCCAGAACCTCTTTTGATACAAAGTCTGTCCTGTTGGTGAATGAAGGTACCTTTTTCCAGGGGGTCACACTAATAGGTGGAGCATCTTCTCCAGATGGGCTTTCTGGACAACCCTTTGGCCTTGATACAATCTGCTGGATTCTCTTCTATCTCCCGCTCTTTCGAACATTTAGCAAAGCAGCCCCATAACCTCACTGAGATATTTGGTTGGCGATAATCCTCAGGCAGATGAGACACACAGACACTTCTCATTGAAGTAGATAAGGCATCTCAGAATCTCTCTGCCAACATAGGGCACCTTTTGGAAGAGGTAGTCCCCCCGCAAAACACACACACACACACAACCAAAAACTTTTCTAAGAGGTTGTGGCAGTCATAAAGGAGTGAATGAGACTCCAGAGAGAAGAAATAAACTGAATCTCAGTTTAGAAGAAGCAGAAGGACTACCCGTGGGTGATTTAGATCCTTAACTGAGCAGCACCCAACCATTCTGGAAGGGTTGGGGGTCTCTATGCACAATGGATGGAGGAACGTTGACCCTTAACATGTACTAGATTAAGCAAAAAGTAAAGTGTGCTGCTTATAGACCACCTTACCGCACATGTGCATGTATGCATGCGCACACACCAGCAAGCTGGATACTCAGTTTACCAACCTCAGAAGGATGGAAAGAAGGTGGAGTCAACCTCGAGTTGCATCAAAGCCAGGTTGTGTGCAGAGTCTTGACTGCAGTCCTGCAGTTGAACTACTGTGGCCCAACTGTCCTGCAAACCTTTACTCCAAGCCATCATGGCTAGGGATGATGAGGATGAGGGCTCGTCCCCGAGAGGGGTGTGTTTTGGATTGAGGTGACTTGGGGATGTGGCTCCATTCCCCCCAATACATACAGAATCACTCACTCCAAGTTTCGATGCCTGGTTTAATCTTTCCTTGACTGTAACTTGGACTCTTCCCATTTGAACTGCCGCGCCACATTCCCTCCCTCCCCTCTTGTGCCTTCCCATACATCCTGCCCAATCTGAATCGATGGGGAGTGGAGCCACTTCTTAAAGATGAGCAGATAGGTTGTGTGGACCGCTCAGTTTTGGGTCTCTGGCTGAGAAGCCAAAGGTTGGGAGTTCGATTCCTCCCTGGCCCTTCCGGACAGGGGCTGAAGACCCATAGAGTCCCTTCCAGCCTTGCAGTTCTAAGATTCTGAACCCACCATGTCTTCCTTTTTAATCCCACTTTTCCTGCCGGCCGATCTAAATAGTATACACGGCGTCCACATTGCCGGATTGTATTCTCACGACAACCCTCTAAGGTAGGTTAGGCTACGAGAGAACGTGGGCTAGCCTCTGGCAACCCGGAGTGTTTCATGGCCGTCCCAAATCTCTGCCTAAACGTGTTCCTAAAACTCCCAGAGGCCTTCGCCATGAGCTGTGCTGGCAGGGCTTCTGGGAGTTGTAGTCCAAGAACATCTGGGGACCCAAGGTGGGGGAACCACTGTTGTATGGAATGAAATTTTTTACTTTGGAGAAGGAACCATAGCACATTTTTTCCTGAACTATAGGAGGGAATTCTACAGGACCTCCCAAAACTACAGATCCCAGGATTCCACAGGACAGTCGTCTGGGGACCCAAGGTGGGGGAACCACTGTTCTATGGAATGAGATTTTTACTTTGGAAAAGGAACCGTAGCACATTTTTCCCTGAACTATAGGAGGGAATTCTACGGGACCTGCCAAAACTACAGACCCCAGGATTCCACAGGACAGACGCCCGGCGACTAAAGTGGAATCCAACTGCTATCACTGTACATGGTGGAAGCACTTGGCGTCGAGAGTCGAAATACAACGATGCTTCACAAGGCCCTTTATTTGCCATTTTTGGGTACAACAGAACTGTTCACGATCCAGAGAGGGGCTTTTCCGTACCGAAACCCATCTTCTCCGGGCACAGCGATGGTGGGCTTGGTTTCGGTCAGACAGGAAATGGTCAGCGGCTCCCACTGGGGTGTTCGGGCTGCAAAGCCTTGAATGCTGGGGAGGGCTTCTGTTTTCTGTTGGTCTGCGAGCCAAAGAGAATAAACAATGCTAGTGAAACTGGCCTGCAGGAAAAGGTCTTAGATGGCAGGAGAAGATGAACAGAAAACCACACGCCCTGCAACCGTTGCATATAACTGTGACTAGAGCGTATGGCTCAGCTGAGGTTTTCTTTGGAGAAGCTTCTTCCCGGAATCCTTTGATAAGAACTGAACTCTTAGAAAACCAAAAACTAGAACTTTCTAGATCCATCTTTTCCCCTTGCAAGGGAAAAGAACAGAAGAGGTTCACAGCTCACTTCCTGTTGTTCGTTTCCGGTCTTCCAAACCATCCTAGTGCCAGCAATTACGTAGACCGACAGACCAGGGCGAGTTGCTGGTGGCCCTCCAGAAGCCGTTGACCTAAGGTTGACCACTAGTCCTGCCTGGGGCCAAGTCAAAGGGCTATGGGAGTTATACAGTGGGGCGCCAAAAACTAGAACTTTCTAGATCCATCTTTTCCCCTTGCAAGGGAAAAGAACAGAAGAGGTTCACAGCTCACTTCCTGTTGTTCGTTTCCGGTCTTCCAAACCATCCTAGTGCCAGCAATTACGTAGACCGACAGACCAGGGCGAGTTGCTGGTGGCCCTCCAGAAGCCGTTGACCTAAGGTTGACCATTAGTCCTGCCTGGGGCCAAGTCAAAAGGCTATGGGAGTTATAGTTCCTTGGAATCCTGCATCGGACCATTAGTTCTTGGGTAGGCGCCTTCACTGATCTGTGGTCCAGTCTTTTACCACCCAGCCCAAACCACCACTATCTTCTTCTACCCAAACCAGAAATGGTTGGAAGCCCTCTTCAGGGGGTCCACGGAAGCACAGTGAGGCCACATGTGGCCCATCTCTGAACAGTTTCATTTAGCTGAGAGTCGATGGGAGTTGCAGTTCCACAAACCTGGAGAACCAAACATTGGGGAGTGGATACATTTCCAAAATAGCATGGCTGCCTGGAGGATTTGGGGAGTTGTAGCCACCCGGCGCTCCCTGGGAGTCGCAGTGCTTCCTGTGGGTGTTGACACGCGGACTCATGGGAAGGGTAGTCTCACTACCCATTACACTTTATAGAACGAGCCTCTCGTAGAACTACGCATCCCATGAAGCACTGCGGTGTCACACAGGAAAAACTGCAACTCCCAATTGGGGCATTTCCTTCTTCAGAGCAGAAACACGTGGAGCAGAGCAGGGATACCTCTCTGCTGCCTTCTGTTTTTGCTCTCCCACTCCCTGGGAGGGATTCTGTGCGAATTCTGCGAGCAGGGATCCGAGACATCCCAAAGGCCCATCCCCAGCAGACACAGAAAGGAATCTCCCCAGATGTTGGCCATGATCGATAGCCACGTCTCCCGGTTTCGGGATTCTGAGAGCTGCGCTCTGAAGGAGCACACGTTCCAAGTATTGCGGTCGTTTTGCTTACCCGGCCTCGAATGCGCTCGCAAGCTTGGATACAGT